TCAATAAAGAATGGTGACACGAGCATTTCTATCTTTCAGATCCATACTATGAATGCAGCCAATCTATAATTTTGAATAATAACGATATCAATTTGATCAGCGTTTATTGAGCGTCGGTGCTGCAGGGAACTCACAATATTGTAGACTCGGGGTGGGTGTGAGTGTGGGGTCTATGATAGCTGAATACGGTATCTACACCCACACCCTCAAGATGGTTAGTATTGTCTGATTAAGAGTCTGCTACTCTGGATTGGATCCAGAGTTTCTAATAGAAAGTTTAAACAAAACGTATTGGTACACCTTCTTTTTGTCTGTAAAGTGTACAAAGTATTCTTATCACGTTTTTCCAGTGTAAAAAACAGAAGTAATTCTACTTTCTTCATAAGTACTTTACATAAATACTTGCTAAATTACAAACATATGAGTGATAAATAAGAATATCGTTTCGTAATCTGACATATTCATTTACAAAAAACAAACGTGAGAAAAAAAAAGAGTTTGCAATATACTATTATCTACTGCTTCTGATGTTTTAGTATCAAGTTGTAAATCATTTTCGCAAAATGTGCACCGTACACTCTGCTTTTTCGAGCAAATTGTAGATCAAAGTGTAAATAAAAAATTGCAGTTTTACAGCACATTTTGTTTATGCTTTGTACAACTGCTATTGCAAACGCTGCTCTGGAACAGGATCTTTTCCAAGATAAACATTAATTTTCTAGATTTGATGGATCAGTTATTCACTAACTAAATAGTTGCTTATGGTCCCTGTTTATTTCTCGAAATAGTTTAACTGTAATATAAAAACTGTTATTCTGAGGAGCGCGAAAAAGTACGGATATGAGTGTTATACTTTCGTTCTAATCACACCCACACCGATACCTATTCACTCTCACACTCACACCTATTCACACCACACACTTGCATCAACTGAGCTCCATATTTAGAGGATTTTGAAAAATGACAGTTTCTCTTGATCGCATTACGGTAACAAATTTCTGGCTATGGCTATATTTATTTAACGCGGTTCAATTCTTATTAATAATTGATGTATTAAGTAAATGTCTTTCGTATGTCAATAACAAATCGATACTTGACATCGCCGGCGATGATTCGTTCGTAGGCCTTTGCGAGTGTTTCTGGTGTAGCTCGATCGATCATTTCAATGTCACACGTAATATTGTGTTTAGCACAGAACTGTAACATGTCTCGTGTATCCTTCATACCACCAATGAAACTGCCACAAATTTTAATTCGCTTAAGCAGCAATGTAAATGTTGGAATTTCAACAGGCTCGGGCCAAGCACCGACTCTATTTTTCAATCGAAGGTATTCATTTATTGAATAATAATAGTGCAAAATTCTTACTTGCAATAGATACCTTGAAAGGAGAGCAGATCGAGTAGGTCAGTGATATTGTGCGGCGCTGAGACAGTCTACAATTAGAAAATAATTTAAAAAAGAAACGTTAAGGGTGAGAAGTTATTGTTATCGGAAAAATGACAATAACTTTTCACACCTAATGAAAAGTGAACTAACATCGAGGATGAAATCAAATGTGTCTTGCGCTGTCTTCATTTGTTCCTTGTCGGTAGAGATAAGAAAAGCCTTGGCACCCAATTGTAGAGCATCTACTCGCTTTGATTCCGACGTTGATATAACGCTGACATGAGCACCCATTGCAGTAGCCAGTTGAACAGCCATGTGACTCACTCCGCCCAAGCCAACAATACTGTGTATCGGAAACTTGTTAGATTATATGCAGAATAATCGAAACTTGTGAGGTTTTAAAAGTACTTGTTTGAATTTCTTTAAAATCTAAATTTTAACTGCGTCGCCTCGCATGTACTCATCGTATTAGACGGTATTTTTTGAATGAAACTCAAGCTGATCAGTGAAATTCCTGTTTGAACAAACTGCGGAAATCCTACAACTCTCCTGCTTGACATTATCGAAGAGATTTTCTGTAGGCATAAGAGACTGTCTAAATAAGCTGCCTATAAAACGAGAATATCCGAGACAAAGTTGTCTCTATTAATTTAACGAAATTTACCAAAAATTCATGTTACCTTTTTGACCGTGAAAAGGCGTTGAAAATTGGTCTTTTAACGGACTTTCGTGTAGTATTCATCGTTAACATCTGGAAACGGAGAAAAATGCATAAAAGTCCGTTAAAAGACCAACTTTTAACGACTTTTCAAGGTCAAAAAGGTAACATGAATTTTGTTAAATTTCGTTAAATTAAAATTTAACGAACCATTTTTACATGAAATCCGTTGTATTCTCTTAGCTTCTTGAGGTTTTTCTTTCTTCTTGATTTTTTCACTATAATTTTCGGAATTCACTTTCTTTTTCCAGTTCATCTTGTTCGTTTGTTATCGATTGCTTTTAATTAATTCTTACATTTGTCGCATTATTGCAAAGCATTAAGATACAGATCGTATGTTCCAGTTCTCTATTATCCCAACGACGTTTATACTTATTTTGCATGAGGGTGTGGGTGTTGCCTCTTCGCTTACTCATATTTGTTATACACACA